AGTCAAAGGTTACCAAAACTGTCACCAACGTTCTTCAAAATATCTTCTTCTGTGTTCCAAAAAAAAAAAAAAAAATGTCATACAGGTTGTAACAACATGAGGGTGAGTAAATGATGATACATTTTTATTTTTTGGTTGAACTATAGGGATACAAATTATGTAATCCGAGAGTCGATTTGAATGCAGTTGCCACTCTCATTCAAAACCAAATTGTGTGTGAACATAACTGTATTTCGCACTCAAAAACTGGCTTAGAGACTTAGAATCAGACAGAATACGTTTTTTCAATTTAAAAAACAGGCCTTTTTTTTTTTTTTTGGTTCATTTTTTTTAGTTTAGAAAAGAGCAGTGTGGTGTGTTTTTTCTGTTGCTAAGCAACCACCGAATCAGCTGTCCTGTCAGTCTAATCAAAGATTATAGCATGAGCGCTCTAGAATCTTTGGTTTGCTATTAAGTAAACTGTAAACATCTCTATTGCCACACTAACTTGCCACCAGGCCTGCTGCTTTTTGTTAACATTGTGGTAGTTGCGGTTCGTGATGTCATACAGCTCCGTGTAACCTGCGACAGACACCACAAGTTTCTCCTCCATCATTGCAGTCTCAGGACGTTCCAAGCAACTGTAAACTTCCGTCACAACAACGGATGGCGTCCATTCATTCTATTGGACAATTGAAAAAAATTGTCAATTGGAAAAAAAAATGCGAATGACGTCGGGCACTTTTCTGCTGAGTTGATTTTTTTTTCAACTTCAGGCGCTCAGAGCGCTCCAACAAAAACACAAGACGCAGCAGGTGGCTAAAACGCGAGGCGCTCGGGGCGCATAAAAAGCGAGCAAAACGCTCAATACCAATAGAAAACGATTAAACATTACGACGCCTCTTACTAAAAAAAAAACGCGTTCTGTCTGATCGGGGCCTTATGCTGTGTGAATGTAGCCATTGTGATTCTTCATTTAGTGCTGCATACACAGGGGCGGACTGGGGCCAAAAATTATATTCGCAATTGCGAATATAAATTCGCAATTGCGAGTTATAAAGTCAAATTTTACCTCAGAATAGTTCTCTCACAATTCTGACTTTATAACACACAATTGCGACTTCTGACTTTAGCCTATATCTCCAATTTGCGTATTATAAAGCTAGAATTTCAAGTAGCCTCGCAATTGCGAGTTTATATCTCATAATTCTGACTTAATAACACGCAATTGCGACTTCAATTCTGAGATAAAGAGTCAGAGTAGATAAAAAGTTACCTTTTTTATTTCTCACTCTGTGGCGAAAACAAGCTTATAGCCTACCATATGTATTGTAGACACTGAACAGCAAATTAAGAGGAACCGTAGGCTACAGATCACTGTGGAAAAATGAGTAGGCTATAGCCATTAAAGAAGGAACTCTTACCGGGCAAAATATCAAGCACTTTTTTTTCTTTTTTTTTTTACATCTGACAAGATTTATTTTCTTGATGCTGTTATTATTTTTGCATTTTCCCTTGAATGTGTACTGGTATTTTACAATGTGTACAGACTTTATTGTATTGTACCTTTAAAATTACAAAGACAATTAGGCTACTTGATTCATTTTAGCTTCCACTCCACAGCAAATGTGACCTGAATAAAATAAAATGGCTTAAAAAAAAAATAAAAAAAAAAAACTTGCGGTGCTGAGGACATGCTATTAATCTATCAAATTAAGGTTTAAAATCATGTGATTTAAAATGTTGTAAAATTAACTATTTTGCATAGCCTATGTGTGAAACTCGGATAAGCATCCGATTTATATAAATAATTACTTATTTATCAATAATTACTATTTAGCAGTACTATACTACACAGGTTAGAACATCATATCAGTACAATATTGAGCATACATGTCACTTAAAACCAGCGCATGCGAATTATAATCCAGAGATCGACACTGCGCATGCGTATATGACGTCAGCAAAACACACCTCCATCCAATACGTATTGGACCATCCAGCTACGTCATCGTGCTACAGGCTGCAGCGAGCATAGACATTATGTCTATGGCAGCGAGGGGTGTCTCTTTTTTTTCGGCCGATTCATGTCAGTGAAAGAGGGAGCTCTGATTGGCTGTTCAGCTTAGTGAACGAGTCAGTGCACTGCACGAGAATAATAGCAAAACCGAGAGCAAAGAAGTCAAAACGGCATTGATAGAGGCTGTTCTAATTTATGTCATATTACCTGAGTGTTCCTTGGCGAATATTTAAATATTAACATGAGAGGAGGGGAATAAAGAAAGTGTTTAGCAGGATTGATATTCAGAACGGTAAGCACGCATTGCTTTGTTTACGGTGTGTATCTGCAGCCGGCTGCGTCGGTTTCTCTTTTTGAATGACGAATATAGACGAATATATCTGCAGAAATAGACAGTTGTCTCATTTACACGCAGGCGCAGAACGCGCATTCTAGCTAACAGTAGGCTGTAGTTCTCTCGGTGTGTTCAAGTGCAGCTTTTTTCCCGCGACACAGGCGACGGGGCGATGCGAGGCGACAACAAAGTCGGCTTTCATCTGATTCTGCGCTAGTTCATCGGCGTTGGCTTGGTGTGTTTCCAGGACGTGAAAGAGGGCGTGTTTCAAGATACGCAATCTGGAGTAGATTAAATTTAACAGGGAGGGAGGGCATGGGCAATACACTCACATGCATGCGCACGAAACACACTCCTTGTTGTCCGCGGCCGCGCGATCGATTCCCTCATCCATTTGCGTAGAAAAGAAATGTAATATTATGATTTCCGTCATTTTTTATATATATATATATATTTTTTATATGTGTACCGGGCCGGCCCACATTGGCCAGCGGCCCACCGGGAAAAGTCCCGGTGCTCCAGATGGCCAGTCCGCCCCTGTGCATACATAAATGCCTCATTATGCCAAATTAGAATTGAGTTTCCCACAATGCACTGTAATGACATGTTAAGTGCAGAAACAGAATTGTTCTGCTGTATTATGAAACACATCGGCAGTCTGCTGATGTTGCCATGTAAGAGAGAGAGAGAGAGAGAGAGTCACATGTGCCAGTAACACATCTCAGTTCATTCTTACAGCTTCTATTGGATCATTGGCAGGCCACATGTGCCCCACTGCAGATGGTGCAATTACTATGAAAACACACACGCAGTTACAGATGCAAATTTGACAGAAGAATTTGACACATGAATGCCCATGTAGCCTATACAAAATGATTATAGCTGAATACCCATGCAGTCGTAATGATTCCCGCATGATTATCACACTAACAACCCTGTTATGCAACCACATAATGCATAACAGGTCGCTGTGTCTATCTCAAATATGTTTACATATGTTCAGCAGCAATTTTTACTCTCTAACAAGTTAATTCCAGAGAGGAGTGCATGGCTTTCTGCAAATAGTATTTTCACACCGGAATGCTCTTCTCACCCTTGGCTAATCAGTGAGCATGTGTCTAAAAGCTAGATAAAGCTATTACAACACTAGGTCTAAAAACAGCTGAGAAGAAATATGTCTCACTGGTGGCGAACTGGGCATGGGCCAACTAGAGAGCAGTCTGTGCAGTGCCACACACACACACACACACACACACACACACACACACGCTGCCACCAAGATACCTCAGAGGTGTTAAAATATTACTTTTGTTGTGGAGAAAGAGCTATCGCTCTGTGAAGAGGGGGTACAAACGGGACACGATCCTGCAATTTTATATGCTTGGGAACATGTTCCAATCTCACTTTGCCCTCTCTCTATAGGGCTCTGCTTTTTACTGCCACCACGCTTCAAACTGTTCTCCATATAAAGCCAGAGACAGCCAGGCTATCTCCATCACCTTCATGCTGAGCGATGACAGGCAGAGAAGCAGAAACACGTTTAACAAAGGCCTCGCTTGCACTCTCTCACTCCTATCCCCGGTCTCTCTGCCACTTTCTTTGCTTCCCCCAACTGCTGTCTTTTCCCGCAGTGCATACTTTTCCAGTAGGCCTTTTCCTATACCTTTTCCCCTTGGCTCCAACACATCTAAATATAACCAGCCTCAGAGAGAGCTGTAGCTGATAACGAGTTGTAAGAACAGCCGAAGTTATGCCGAAGGAAGACTGTGAATGATCCCTTTTTAATATTTACCCACCACAGCCTAGATTCTTAAACAAAATTTAATCATCCTACATCTTACTGAGGCACAACTGTCCTGCAACGAAAGATGAAAGAAGAGTGTGAAATCCAAAGTGGACTTTAAAACTTATTAGACAGTACAAATTCTGAAATGTAATGGCCAGCGGTGTAGCAACATTCACCTCTCACTTTTAGAAAGTACTAAATTTGCTACTATTTTATGGGAGAGAATCATTATGTTTATGAGGTCAATTATTAAAAATAATTTCTATTAATTTAAATAAAGCTGAAATTAAGTAAAATATAAGTATTAGATGCCTGAATGTATCATTTAAATAAAATAAGTTTAAGTAGCAGTACTTAATTTCCTAAAAGTAAGAAAGACCGAAAAAAAAAAATTAAGCTAAACAGAAATAATGAAAATTACAAAAGCACAGAGCAACAAGGACTTAAACCAAAATTTAAATAAAAACTGAGAATATAAAAATAAAAGCTAATTCAAAATATTAATAAAAACTGTAATAGTATATCAATAATACTAAAATAACACTGAAGCACAACCGGCCAAGAAACTGAATTCGAATCCAACAGGAAAAATAATTATAAGTAAATCATAAATGCTATGTTTGCATTGTATGACCATAACTGAAGAATTAAATTAAACTAAAAACTATTACACAACATTCCATTCAGATCTTTTTGAAATCTTTATTTTAAATTCTGTGACTTTTAAGCCTATGACCCTCAGCTATTCCAAGATCATGTTCCTCTTTAAACCATGTGTATATCTTTATTACATGTGTAGGAGGCTGAATATAAAACAGGAGGCCATAAAGATATTCTGTAATCAAAACCATCCAGCATTTAATGAAAAATGAACGACTTACCCAGCACTCCCAGCCTATAATTCAGGGTCACCACGATGACATTTCCATAGCTGGCCAGAATGCTGCCGTCAATCATATTTCCTGTTCCTTCCATGTAGGACCCACCATGGATGTACACCATCACAGGTCTCAGCCCATTCTCATCATGGATGTCTGCAAGTAGAAAAAACAAAAATCATCTGGACATACTAAACATGTTATATCTGTGGGATGACTGAACAACCTTTTTTTGTCCAACTAATAGTGACAGTTCTTCTCAGTAAACGAACATCAGTAGAATACATATGCTTTACACTTTGACAAGAAAATCCAATAGTACGATCCCAAATGAGAAGATCAGACAAATGTTTCAAATTAAATTGCTTCTTTATACCATTATCAAGCCGCATTTTCATTGAAACTAATCCCACCTCAGCAAGATTCACCTCAAGATGTGGCTCATGCACAGGGAAGTCCGTAATTGCTGCAGATGAGTTGGTTATTTGTGGGGTTCTCTTGTTCTGATTAAAGCCCCTGATTAGTACATGTGTAGGAGGCTGATTATAAAACAGGAGACATGAAGCCCAAGGATGAGGAAGTCTTTGATAGCAATTCACAAATTGCAGGCAGGCTTACCCAGACTATAGATTTTTCACATCAGATATTTACTGGTCTTGAACAGGACAGCAAATGTAGATGCAGATGTGTCCCTGTGTTTAGTCACAATAAAAACACACTGAGAGTTTAGACGATTGTGCTTACTGCATTGGCTGAACATTAATATCAATGAATGTATACTAATGGAAGCTGTAAACAGCAAAAGATACAAATGTTTCTCTTCAATTTAGGACGCTTTTTTTTTCGCAGCGGTTGATGGTGATGTAAAACGGTTGATGTATATTTTTTGGTCACACTTTAGATAAGAGTCAAATTCTCACTATTAACTATGACTTTTGCCTCAACAAACTCCTAATTACTGCTTATTGATAGTTAGTAAGGTAGTTGTTAATTAAAGGTATTGGGTAGGATTAAGGGATGTAGACTATGGTCTTGCAGAATAAGGTATTAATATGTGCTTTATAAGTACTAATAAACAGCCAATACCCTAGTAATATGCATGCTAATAAGCAACTAGTTAATAATATTACCATTTTTTTGTAATTCATTTTCTAATTCAACACCATGGTGTTACACTTATTCAGTTGTGTTTTTTCACTGCTTAACTGTGCACAGTTGAAGAAACACCCATTTATATACTTAACAACTCACAATTGATTCAAAGCTTCCTCAAAGAATAATAATAATAATAATAATAAAGAGGAGAGTTTCCTCAGCCCGCTCAAAACAGCTGATGGAATGAGAGCTAATGGCATCAAAAAGGGGTTATGACATTCGGTATGTGTGCCTGCGTCTGTTAGCATCCACCTCTGTAAACATACTCACTGCAAACAGCCTCCTCTCAGTGGGAGTGGTATATCTGCATTAGGAACGCCCTGGTTGGCTTCTCAGACTGGAGTGGAGTCCAACAGGGGACAGCGTAAGTAATTGGTATTCAGCCAAAGCCACCTCACTGTACTTTGATTATTGGTTTCTGTTGCATATGGCTTCATTAACTGCGTAGAGGTGGTGCACAAACACAAACACATAGACACAAACACACACACACACACACACACACACACACACACACACACACAGCGTGGTCTGCTGCAGAGCTGGCACAATCCTACAGCGCCTGTGGGCAGGCGAGCAGAATTAACGGCAAGTCTGTGTATCGTTCTCCCCGCAAAGGAAAACAGAGAGAACAAGAGAGAGGGGAACAGTGAGAGAGAGAGAAAGAGAGGGAGAGGTGGAAAACAACCCGTCGTGACAGGTGATTAATCTCGGTCGGGTTCTGAGTGGGCGCCAGGCAGTGCACTAATGCGAGTGCATCTATTTTGCAGCTCTTTGCTGGTGTACAACTTTCAGCGTTGCAGCGCCTTTATTGCGCTGGACCATCACCAAGGGCAGAACCTCCTGTCTAACATTCTGCCTCTCAACCAGGTAGACTAATAGCTGCGCACAGGATTCTAGTTTAGTGGAGATGTTACACAAGCTTTGTGTTGATGTTTTACCCTTTTACACTGGTCTAGGATTACCTATGACCCGAAATCGCAAGCAAACCCATTACTACCAACGCAGGCAAGAGCATACCACCCACAAAATTGGAAACCTCTATTATGGTGAATCTAAACTGGCAAACTTGAGCCAGTAGAAGTAGTTTAGGTACTGATTTCATGGGCTCTTTCCAAGAAAACAATTTAATTCATTCATCTCCACAGCTATTGGAAGGAGAACAATCCAGAAACACATTACGAGAATGGAGTGCTGCCATGAACTTGTCTAGAGTAGAGTAGATGCGATACACATCTTAAGGCTCTTCACAGCAAACTCATAGATCAAGGAGACATATTGGATGGGCTTTTACTGTAGCTGAGAAGGAAGCACATCTATGCACATTTTGCATCCCAGGTGTGTTGAAAATCAACTGGCATTGGAAATTTGCAAAGTTGGCAAACATTTGGGCTCTTGAGAATGATGAAGAGGAAAGATTTCCGGGCCATTCACAGAACGTTCACACTCAGGTTGTTAATGCAGTGCTATTCAATTTGGGCCACACTTTTAGCTTGTACATTGTCATGACAATCTATATGAGATGTCTAATGAAAAGCTGATCATTTCATACAACTTTTACTGTTGTGTGGACTTTAACTAAAACTTTTAGTCTAACTTTTATAACTTTTAGTATTGCAAGTCCACAGAAAATTTTCCAAAATTCATAAAGAAATCATACAAGTAATCCATATAGACATAGAGGTTGGATAGCGGATGTCAGTAAATAACAAATAATATTTTATTTATTTGTTTAAAGCTGCAGTCCGCAGTTTTTTCCTCTTTGTCGCTATCTCTGTTCGAAATCTGCAATTGCAGTTATTCGCGGAATTATCAACTTTACGTGAGTTGTACTTTGACACGACACAGCGAAGATGAACACAATGTTTGAGGAGAGTGTGTCTGTCAGTCACCGTGCCGGTGTGGATACTGGCATTCAGAATCACAGATTATTATTTTTGGAAGTATGACCAACATAAGAATTTTCACCGGAAAATGTCATCTGAACAAGTAAGAAACATCCACTTTTGTTCTGGTTCTGACATTGCAGTAAATCGCGCTGATTAAATCTAACAATCGCTTATCATATCACGCAAAACCGTGCAAATTATACTTTGTTCTCAAATTGTTAATGTTAACAATGTCAGCATTGCGTGACTATGTCCTTCCGATATGTGTCCTTGTTTTCGCATGGGTCCGGTTGCAGTCTCTTTTTTTCCGTAGCCACTCCGAAGTCCGAACGAAGTCTTTTGCATTTTACAACAGGTGAATCTGTTGTCACTGGTGATTGTCGTTAGAACCTTTCTGGACCCGCCATCAAATTGAGAAGTTTAATTATATCAAGTGCTGTGAGAAAAGGCTATAAATCTCCACCTCCAGCATCCTCACACTCAATATAGCCTACTACCCGAGACTCCCTCTTTATGTGTACAGATGTGACGTAATGACGCAAAGACATGCTCGAATCTCCCGCGGAAATCCACCAGTACCACTGGAATTAAAAACATTATTACAAGCTTACCGCTTTGAATCGAGCTAAGGCAAGCAGATAGTTTTGAACACTGTCTGGTTATGTATTTTCTCAAATATGTATTTTGGATAATTTTTAACCCAAAAAAAGCTACGGACTGCAGCTTTAATGTGGAATAACGTTGTTTCCCTTATTAGTTTTAGAGAAACAACAGTTTATTTTTTGTTCTATTAGACAACTTAACTCTGCCACAACTTAATCATGTTGATTGTATGCATCTTATGCACTTTATTTCATTATCCAGTAACTAACACAACTACTAAATGAATACCAGGAATAATATTTGTGTTAATAAAATGTATTTTATTACACTGCTGTCTTCCTTGTGTTGACACAGTAGTAATAGTAATAATACAGTAAGAGGCTCTACAAATTATCCGATATGTCACAAATGCTTCATATTGGTCATCTGACTATGGAAGCTTGTTTCCGCCACTGAATCAAACATAAAAAAGGTAATTGCGACTTTTTACATCTAGCAATTCTGACTTTTTTTCTCAGAATTGCATAATATAAACTCACAATTGCGAGTTATGAAGTCAAAATTGTGTGATATAAAGTCACAATTGAGTCAGTCTTTTTTCCATCAGAATTGGACTTTATAACTTGCAAATTGTAAGTTTATATCTCACAATTCTGAATAAAAGAAGTCAGAATTGCAAGGTTTAAACTCGCAAATGCGAGAAAAAAGTCAGAATTGCAAGAAAATAAGTCAGAATTGCGAGTCATAATGAAATGCTTAAGAGTGTATACCTCACAATTCTGACATTATAACTCGCAATTGCGAATTTATATCTTGCAATTCTGAGAAAAAAGTCAGAAGTTTGAGTTTATATTAAACAATTGTGAGGAAAAAAAGTCAGAATTTTTAGTTTATATTAAACAATTGTGAGGAAAAAAGTCAGAAATTTGAGTTTATATTAAACAATTGTGAGGAAAAAAGTCAGAATTGTGAGATAAAAGTGACAATTATCTTTATTTTTTTTATTCTGTGGCAGAAACAAGCTTACCTGACAGCTCCCTCCAATTTACATAATTTGTATTTATTCAACAGTTCTCCTTGATTGTTCTTTACTGTTAAGGTAAATTAACTTAGCTGGTGCCCCATGGTTAAAGGCGTGTAAGGGTCATCTGCCATACTAACCTTAAAGGGATAGTTCACTTTGAAATTAATTTTTGATATGTTTTAGCTTACCTCAACGGCATCCAAGATGTAGGTGTCTTCGTTTCCGCAGTAGTTTCAATTTTGATATTTTTAGGTCATACCGTTCTTGTTTGTCAGTCTTGCAGGTCTATGGTCACCACCTCAAAGAGCATGCACAGAGAAGTCCAAATTAAACATGATTTAATGACTCGTAAATGTAAGTACACATTGAATGCCTAAGACACGAAACGAGCAGTTTGTGTGAGAAAACGAACAGTATTTATATCGTTTTTACCTCTTGTAACGCACAGACCGAAGCGCCCGCGCCCTCAGATCACTTGGACGTGG